GATTCTACTTCTACTTCTGTACTTCTATTTTTACTTCTACTTCTTCTTCTACGACATATACTTCTTCTACTTCTGCTTCTATTAGGTATCAGAAAGCGTTCGCACAAGTTTTTATATCAGAATTTAAACACGGAAAACGTTCTCGTCAAATAATTTTATTACATTTAATACCAACGGCATAAACATAACTTGCTACTATTGGATGAATGATAATTAATATAATCAATGTAAAGTATTAGGAGTGAATTTTGCGTGTGTGTTTTGTATTTTATCGATTTATGATTTTATGTCGTATGTTATTCTGTTCTGTTCTGCGTATTTTATATTTGGTTTACTAAATATTTCATAATTCATATTACTAATACTGCTATATATCAGCTACTAATACTGATTTCATTCATTAAACTACATAGTGAAAGACTGATTGAAATTGGACCTGAATCCATTACTAGCAAGAAAACCGCACGAACTTTTTCCAGTACATAATACTTTTTCTTCTTTCCTTTTGCTCTCTCGTTCGTATCTCGCGCGATCTTTCGTTGGCGGGAAAACGTTTCGAACGGTTCGTAAACACCCGCGTGCCGTGAATTGCTTCGCTCTGTTTGCTCGCGTTCCGCGCGGAATTGATTAATGTTTATGCGGTACGAATTCGCCGTTTCGTTTTGGAAGCTGTGTATCCCAGCTTCACGTGGATCGTTTATAGAATGAAAATTTACTTTTTTCTTATTTCAAAATGTTCAATAGTGTACATTTGAAATGATTAAAGAATATTAATCCGCCGCCAGTGATATGGATTATTAACCCTTTATACTCGAGGTGATCATTAATTACCACTTGATTTGATATAGCAAAAATTACAGACTGTTATATGCAAGATTAATCCTTTGCAGTCGAATGTCGTCGTAACGGCGATTTCGAACTTCGATATCTAAAGTCGGAAACCGCAAATGAATACTTTAACCCTTTGTACTCAAAAAATTTCCACTATAAATATTCAACATTTTCCGATAAGATATAAGCGATATTTCTTGAAACCAGCTAATAAGAAAACTTACATAAATCAAGAAACAAAGCTATTTTATTTCAATATTTCCATATGCATGCATTATACAAAGCTTAATATTATATATGAGCTTCCAATTTTATGTATTTTTTTTTCTTTTAGTATTTAAGACTTCGATGTATAATTCAGTTCCTTATGATATGAAATATTAGAAGTTCAGGACAGTCTCATCCGCAAAGAGTTAATACAAAATTGTCGGCTATTAAGGGTTAAACTTTGTATAATGCATGCATATAGAAATATTGGAATAAAATAGCTTTGTTCCTTTATTTATGTATATTTTTTAATTGGTCAATTTCAAAGAATGTCGTCTATATCTCGTCGGAAAATATTAAATCTTTCTACTGAAAACCTGACCTGTTGAAAATCTCATTTCTCATTAAATTAAGGACTGTAACAAGTATTTTAGAATTTTTCCAGATTTTCGCAGTACTTATAATGATGAAAAATCAAGTCTAACTATAAACGTTCCACATTACGAAGGAAAATAATAACAAGACATCTTTGTTGATTTAAAAGTCGAGAAATGCTTCAAATTTATCAAATTAGAATTCTTATAGTAACAATTACATATATAATTAATATTTTACATTTAATCTGATTTTATAATTTATATTATATTTACATTATTCATATTAATCTAATTTCTATTCTAAATTGTACGTTAAGAAATTTTTCTAATGCAAGAACTGTAATACCAAATCATTAATAATTCATTGTAACATCAATAGTTATAAAAAAAGTCTCTATTATAGAAAAGTAAGAAATATTACGCAAAATGCTAAAGATTCTCATGGCAGTTAATGCATTAACGAGTTATTTATCTGAGGTTAGAAATAACTGGATATGCTGTGAGATAAATATTTGATTTCCGTGAAGTAGTTTCTATGCAAGAAATCCGCGGTACGAAAGAAGAAAAACAATCTGCGTAGCATCAGAGCCGTGGTAGGAGAAAATCAATTCACTGTGAGTCTGACCTTCGTAGGTTTTCGACATTTTCTGTACCCTTTAGAATTTTGCGTCATATGCTCCACTTATTTCCTGAATGTCGCAGCAGTCTAATAACAGACCGCTGATTTCATGCATTTACATACACACGATTACGTGAAATTTAGAATAATAAAAATCATGATAAATCACCCGTAAGATTCAATAGAGAACGTATTACTTTCGAATATATTATCGGCAGGTTGCATGGAAAGAGAAAAACTTTTGATTTCCAAGTACCACTTAATTATACGTTTTATCGATCGAAAGTTCTGTTGCCTAATTATGAGACAGTAAATTAAATTTCATAGTACAGACAAGATAGAAATGATCCCAGAAATGAAAATAATACATTTTTTCTACATAAAACTTCATTTCAGAAAGAAATGCTTTAATTAAATGTGTTTGATCATTATTGGTTATTTCTACTTATTGTGAAAGACTATGACTGTTCGTAACTAAATGTTTGCTTTGTAATTTTGTATTTCTCTCCGTTATTATTTATTTATTACTAATTGTTATATATTTATTTATATTTATTTTCCATGTTGATTTAATACTTTTAAGTAATAACAATAACACAGATGAGTTTCTTATAATAATGTATCGCAGTACATTAAACGATATTTAACCATTTTGAACAAGAATTAACAAACAGATTATGTTAATACTTTTCGTATGTCTGACTATTGTCGGTTATTTCTACTGGCAGTATAATTTGTAATAGTTGATGCTATATATCATTTATTTCTCATATGTATTTAATATAAACTGATAATAACTAGAAAATATATTTGACAGAAACAATAATATTATATTATTAAGTATTTCTCATGAAAACATAAAAGTAAATAATACTTAAGTAATTAAAATGCTACACATGTTCCATTGAGATTTAAATTCTCTTTTTTCAAAAATACAAGTCAAATATTGGCAATCTCATTCAACAATTTTGTTTTGCCATTACAATTTATTTATTATTAAATTGGATAATACACATCTGCTCACGTCATTACGTGTGCTTGCAAAAATTTTAATGTATCGAGGTTCGTTCAAATTAAATTTTCAATAAATTGAAAATTATTTATACAATTCTCTGAAAATTCAATTTTAAAAGACACCTTAGTATCTTTCAACTTTAACAAAATTCACTAAAATCTTTTGGCAAATTTAATGGTTTAGGAACATGAACCTCGCAATCGTTGTCGTAACAGACAAATGAATGAATGAAACAGACAAATAGCGCAAATGTATCTGGAACGAAAGGCCAGAAATAATAATTTATTTTCGAAACAGGCTACTAAGAAACGGGAATCCTGAACGAAATTGTTCGAATTAAAGTCAAGGTGACAACTATCATGATGCTAAAACCGTTGTTTCTGGTGTTAACTAGTTCCTACTTCTTTTTCGTCTCCGGTCAATTGCGTGTATGACACTCGTACTATGTTATCCTCAATTTCGTTTTAAAGAAATCGTTTAACTGATTCCTAAAAAATGTAATTGTTCCATCCAGATGGATCATAAAGTACTGTCTACTCTCGAAATCATTTTCCTCTGTCACCCGATGTTTTGCGAGAAATTTAATTTTAAAGGAACAATCAAACTTTTCAGTTATAAATTAACATTAGAATTATCCAGCATTAAATATGATTAATATGTAATCCTTATAGAAAGAGTAGCAATAGATTTCATTCGTTTCCTTCGTGTACTTATCATAGTATTCAAACTATTGATTTTTAGAATCGTTTTCGATTTTTAACACTTTGATGCGCAGTTCTAGTGTTAAATAATAATTTTAAAAGTCATATGTATGACAACTATACAAATTATACAAAATGTTTGTGGAAAATGATTCTGTGAGATCGTCCACATAAAATAATACATACTTTTAAAACATTATGAACATTTAAATATTTTTGATCATGGCTGTAATTTGTCAGAATATTTTTCCATCCACTTTGAAAATTGTAAGTTAAAAATGAAACTTACTTATATCATGCGATTTTGTTTTCAATTAACACTGAAGCTACTACGCTCGTAAAAATGACGAGTTTCAGTTTTCTTATTTCACAATTATTGATGCCACAAACGTATTAAATATTCAAAATGATTTAAAAAAATAAGTAGCTTCACTTCAATACTATAATGAACATATGAAGAAAAAGAAGAAATTACATTGTTACAATTTTTATATGGATTACTTATTAATCCTATTAAACGCTCAGTAGTTCTAGTATTAGAAAAATAAAACAGTTTTTCGAAGCACACAGTGTCACTGGTAGTTTTCAAAGTAAAAGAACGCTTGATGTTCCTTTTCAAATGAGTTTAAAGCAGCAATGTAACGTTAAGGAGATCAAGTGTTGCGTGAAATTAATGTTCATTTGCAGTATTTTGAACATCACAAAAGTAATTAAATTTCTCAATCCAAAACAATATCTTTGTAACAGTTTTCTTTAATGATTTCTTGAATTAATGAATAATCTTTAATTAGTCTCTCTTACAAAAACATATATATCATTTCATTCTAGAGGATCTACATATTCATTTTCCGAAAGGGGCCCTCACATAACTCTAATTAATTAACACAGAAATAATTGTTAAATCTCTAAACGTAATTACTTTTTAATATAATAATCTTTAATTAGTCTTTGTTGTACAAAAACATATATATTATGTTATTCTGTAGAATCTACATAATCATTTTCCACAAGAAGTCTTCATATAAACCTAATTAATTAACACACAAATAATTGTTAAATGTCAAAACGTAAAATCTCAAATCTGCGGACTTTCCTCTGTAGTTTTAGTGTTAATGCCGGCGTCGGTTAAACTTGCACCCGTCACATTCACGTCGCGTCGATAGGATGATATCAGTGACGCACAATAATTTGAATAGAAGCCGCATAATGGCCTCTAGAGGCCACGCGCAGGATAATTGAATTTCACTTACTTGGCCGAAATGTGTGCCCGGTCCTTGCGCGCACGGAGGTATCGCAGCTTCTTGGAAGAAAATACTGAGGGCCGTCTGGACAACACAACAAGAAAAAAGCAAATGTTAGATTGAGACGACGCTAAATACATTATTCAATGTATCCATTGGCTTGTGACACAAATAAATTCAGTTTGCAAGTATAAACATGTTCTAATTCCGAAGAATTTAATTATGACTCGTTGCCAATGCGCATAACCGTGATTAATTCCTTATCCGAAGATTTATTTCGCAATTGTAGTCAACAGAGCAAAATTGTCTTTGATAAGTGACTAGAAAAGGTAGAATTATATGGTCAGCCTAATTGCATTTATGTTCATTTGAGGATTAACAATTGACATAAAGAAATTTAATTTGAATTGAATAGGATCGAGTGAAACATTATTCAATTTTGTTTGAAATATTTGTTACGATATTGTAATTCAAGGGGACAGAATTAGAATTGTTAGACCTGGTAAAGTTTTGGACTTCTTATCTTGCAATTAGTGGAAAGTAGGGCAAAACCGGGACTGTAATGTAATTCTGTTTGTATGAAAAGGTTGGATGGTGGAAAAAACATTGAACAGAGCTATGTATCTATTTGTTCAACTCTAAAGAATAAGAAAATCACGATCTTTTCAGGAAAAATGTGTTTGAAAATACGATTCATTGAAGGTAAGAAAAAACCCAATTTTGCCCCAATGGGGTAGGTGACACCTCGAAAAGGTGTATAAAATGTAATATAATTATATAATTTCAGCTTCTATAAGTTAAAAAAATAGATAAAAAGTTGTTCTCATTAATTTCAACGAATGTGAAATTATCCTATTAGGTTTAACCTATAGAAATCTATATTAAAGGTTTAGAATCCTTTACTGTACTTATAAACAATTTTAGTCTATTTTAACTATATATAATATTAATTTGGAAATTTGGAAAAATGTGTTCATATAATTCTTATAAAAAGTTATATACAAATCAGTTCAAATATACCGTAGTCTTAGCATCAACAAGCAATCTCTGGAAAGCACTGCTACTTCAGTGCTTTATTAAACTAATAATGATAAAAATGAAAGATATTAAATTATAAGCGAATTTATTTATGCCAAAACGTAATAGTAGACTAAGGATGTTCGGGGAAATATGGCATTTTATGGGCCAATTTACAAACATTGGAATCAAAGAGAAAGTTGCGTACTCTACTACGAATTTTATTAGGATTCAAAGGAATTCAAGAGGCCGTTTAAATTTATCAAGTTTTTAACTAAACTGAATCCTACAAACTTGTACAAAAAATATATAATATTTATATGTTACAGACACAGAGAATTAAATGTACGTAGCATGTTTATGTTCTAGACACAGAGGAAAAGATGTATAGCATTTATAAGCTATAGATGCAGAAAATTCGCAGTTTAATGATGGCAATTTATGTTTGCTTTGTGTCTCTTATTGAATTTATGATAGGATGCTTTTACTTTAACATAAATCCGGAACGTGATAGCCAGATTACTAGCTTTATATCTTTATAGCATTTAATTTGTCTGTAATTCAGTGTACAGTAATATTCTATAGGACATCTTTGTTTTATTTCACATTCGACAGAACTCTTGACATTCTAATTTATAATAAAGTACATATATTACGTAAAAAGACAGTGAAATTTCAAACCAAGCTAAATTTCATTCAATAAACGAAATCACTAAAAAATGTATCATTTATTATACAAATTTATCATTTTTTTATATTATTAATACAATACTATGAGAAACTGAAATAAAAAAATTGAGCATCAAATAATTTTTCTTTTGAAAAATCATAAAGTATAAATAATAGCTAACTATCACCTGAATTTTTGCAGATTTCTATATTATACACTATGAAAATATATAAAATAAACATAAACCTTTTTTATATTTTGACAGCCAAATCGTTCACGTGATATCAACATTTCACTTTTCAATTGAAGAATACGTAAACACTGTACAATGATCGTAGCGATCTTTGTATTTCTAATGATTTATTAAAAATGACTAATTTTCTAAATTATTTCTTATTAAATTAAATTAATTAAATAATATCTATGACGACTGTGACTGCAAATAGAATCGCAAATGAATGAAGTACATAAATAAATTTCTTTTTATATCAAGTTAGTCCGCTAAATTGAGCTGATAATAATCTGAATTTGCGTTAATATTCTCAGGCTAACGACAGCTACTGCGCCAATAAATAACATTTTATCGAATTCGGTGGTTATTGTTCAGTGAATCCGGAAGCCGTACTACACCAGTAATATTCATCTTCGATCATTTTAAAAAGATACAATGGCCCCAAACACTTTCACTGCCGTGTCAGTGATATACGAGTGACACAATTCTTTGTCCAGGTTCAAAATGAATTTTTATGGTACAGGTATCGCGTAAACCAATTTTTGACAGAATTTATGATGCAGAAAGGTGAAAAAAGTAGTCAGAATTATAAATCTTGGTTTCTTAGTTTTTGTTTCATTAAATAAATTACTTCCATTTTGTGGGACTGATTTGACAGTCGGCGTATTAAATTGTCCTCTCATTAAAAGGAACTACTGAATTTTTAATTAATACATTTTACATTATTCCAAATAGGTACATTTCATTCTTCAAATAACTTATAAGATGAATAAAAATTTCCCATACAAATTTTCTTCATAATAAAACAAATAGCGAATAATTTTCTTAACATTTAACCCTTGTTTTGAAAAAATTCTTTCATCGTTACATCTTGCTTCGTATTGCGTCTGAATTAAAAGTGATAGTAATAATCACAATTTACCTTCATTGTAAACTTAAATAAGAATATTTTACCTTTATTGTAAATTTACTGCTATATGTTTTTCTGTCAAGAAATTATTGTAGTGTCACATGTGGATGGTCGAAGGAAAAATAACTCTATTCTGCGGCCCCGACGTTGTATAAGCTAAGGTAGAGAGTAAAAAACTCTGTTTAGTTTGAGACAATCGTAAACTGACCTGTGAGAAGTGGTCTAAACGTTATTATAACTGTACATTATTACTTCTTTTCCACATGTTTCTTGTCATTTAATTTTAAATACATTTACATTTAAAAATTAAAAAATAATCTTATTACCACGATAATTATTAGCTCTACATTATCGACAATAATATACCTTCCAAAGGCTTCAACAAACGTATTACCTGATGATCGAACAAAATTACATGTTAAATGAGATGTAAAAAGGATAAGAATTTTTAAAAATGAAAAAAATAATTTTAAATAAATTTCTATTTAATTATTAAAGAATATTTGTATTTCTCCAATAATTACTAATCCCAAATTACCGACAATAAAACAACTCTTGCGTATTCGTTCAAGAAGAAATCGTAAGGCAATGGCTTCAGGAAATGTATTATTTTGCGAACGAATAGTATCTACAAGTCATTCGACTATAAATATTCAACTATCGGCTATTAATTAACAATTCGACTGTAAGTATATCATTACATAAAACGAGCTGTTGTGTCAAGGATCGATATACTTCGATGCTTCAAAGACCTCTCTACAATTTATAACTTCGATTTATCGAAGCGACTGTTTAGGCAATCGCTACTTTTAATTATCACGCGCGTGTACCAGCGTCAATACGTGAAAGGTCGCGCTAATTAATCGACAAAACTACAACGGTGACGATTACGTGCACGCTTTAACGCAACAATCGATTAGCGCGCAAAATCACCGTGCGACATTCAATCGCAACGCTCGATTATAATAACGACGCTGCGAGATCGCGTTGCAACTTGGAAACACGAGCCAAACGGTGTATCATTACGCTCGGCATTTTTACGGCGCGTTGAATTCGACGTTTGTTCATCAAAATTTGTTCGATCGTTGCGCACGCAAAAGAATTCGTGCGCGTGTGACGTTCTAACGATTTTCGCCGATTTTAACCGTTTGAGTGCTGTGATCGCATATATGCGTCCGGCGAAAATCATCGCTGTGGTCTATAAGCGCATATATGTGTTTTTCGATCTTTTTAAATTTTTTTAAATTTTATTACTTTGGATGAAATGGAGAAATTACATCTACAATTTAATTACAACTTACTTAACACTAAAACTACCGAGCAGGTCAAAATGACCCATTTCTAATTTATTCTTTTCGCAGATATTAAAAAGACAACAGATGTTTCTCTGAGAAATTATTAAGGAAACTGATTTAGCAATACGCAAATTGAATTATGAATCAATTAAAGTCTAAATAGATGTACTCTTCAAATTTCTATAAAGAAATCTCAAAAAGCCTATATTTCTATAAAGAAGTTCCGGCAAGGAGTATTCAGTAGTCAAAGGGTTAACCAGTTAGTTGTTGCGGCCTGTTTTAAAAGCGTGTACATAAAATGTACCGCAAAAAATAAATTATAGTTGTATAAAGGTAATATAAGGTAATATAAGTTATAGAGTATACTCGTCAAAAACAGCTAACTGGTTTATCGAGCGATAATGCAAGCTTATAATGGCATCGTATGACTGCCGGAAAACGCTGGGATTTAATGTGAAGCCTAATCTACACTAACGAGATCGCAATTTAAGCCTCTGCACTCACAGGGCGACACAAAAAATGCATGAACTTGCATACTTAATATTAAATTCTGCATAACGAATTAATATATGAAATACTCTAACAAAATCGTTCCGTTCCTTAATTTATCTGGTTATCTGCGTTGTTGAATATTTTTATTCGACGTTGGTTAACTTACAAATTAGAATTATTTTTGAGTAATTTGCAAGCTCTGGACATTCGTGACCACCGTAGCAGTCAATGTGTTAAGCTATGTGAAATAAATATATATCTATAATATATAAAATAATATCTAAAATAAAATATAAAAATAATTTATAAAATAATATCTAAAATAAAGTACATCTAAAACTTGTGTCTACTTTTCCTTCCAGTATTTTGTTTCCTTTTATATGGATAGACTCTATTAACGCCAATGAAAGTCGCGTAAAACGAATATACATGAAACTGACACACCGCGTAAATAGAAGGACGGGTGTA